CAATTCCTTCTCCTCCATTCTCCTCTCAGGATCTTGGGTATACACGTACATGCATATGTACCCAGTGTGAGTTTAAGCTGCTGGGTTCGAGACTCAAACCATGGTTGGCTACATGGGAGGGAGTCCAGCGACATAGCCATTACACCAACTGCTGGTCCTAATATGTGCAATTATTAAATGTTAATTTTTTAAGAAGAGAAAATGTCTTTAGAACATTCTAGAAATGTGTTTCCTGTAGAAAAATTCTAAGAATAAAAAGTGGTGCTTCAGGCCACATAAAGTAATCCCATTACTCTGAGATTAATAAAACACTTAGTGGCAACTACAATTGTTTCAAAACAGATTCCAACTCTGGAAATGATTGGGTGCTGATTGATAATTTTTTTAAAGTGTATGAGTCTCACTTTTCTTATTTGCTGTTAAAATACTAACGCTTTTTAACAAAATAATTGCAAATGTTAAAGAGTGGTAGTTTATGTGACTATATTTGTTAAGCAAGGAAGTTGTATACATAACACGTTTCTATTTTAATGCAATAATATTTTTAAATTAAAGAAATGCCTTAAATAAATCAAGTTACAAAAAAAATTACCAACATTTTGTGATTCTGTGGAAACATTGCTTAGAAAGAACTCTAAAATTTAACAGGTTTCTTTAAAAACAGGAGAAAGATATCAAGTCAATAATATTTCATACAATAAGGGACTACAAAAAAAAGAGCAAAAGAAGCCAAAGATTTGAAGAAGAAAATATATAAAAATTGGAATGAATAAAATAAACTAGACAAGTTAGAAACCACAGAGAGTATCATTGTAACCTCCAGTTGTCTTTATATTTTAAATTTATTTTATATATTCAATCACTATAAATCACTTAACTTATAAACTGAATCTACCCAATATAAATGACACTTCACACCAGTCCAGTTGAGGATATTATACATGTTATCATCAACAGATCATAAACCATTTCTGTGTCCAACAAATGTCTTACCTCTCTTTTTTTGGCTTTATAAAGGTCAAAAAACTACCTTCTCCAGCATGAATCATTACTATTTGTTGCCGCCTTGAATTAATCATTACCTGTTGTATACATGTTTAACACACACACATACACCATAAGATGTACATGTATATGTAAATTTAAAATTACAATAAAGTCAGTTTCCAAAAAATTTAAAAATCAGCCAACTGGGCCTGCATGTGGTGTGGTTAAGAAAGCTGTATCCCACATAGCTGATTCCATGATTCAAGTCCTGAACCAGGGACTTGAAAATCACAATCACACTGGACCCATGTGCATGCATGCCCAAAATCCTGGAAGGAGAATGAAGAAGAAGGGATTGCAGCATGACCATCTCCCCGGGGAAGGGGGGGGTGATTTCTTATTCTCTCTTCTCTATTTCTCTCTCTCTTTCTCTCTAGTAAACACACATGCCCTACAGCAAAAACTAAACAAATTAGAAATTAACAACTGACAAACTTTTATGAAAGTGGAGACATTATTATTGATGTTACAGAAATAAGAGGATTATAGGAGAACATATGAATAATTAATGACATTTAGAAATTAGTTTCTTATACACAATTTCAAGGAGAGTCATTAATCTGAAATAATGGTAGTGTTTGTAGCCTTTGGCTGGAATTTGGTCTGTGCAGAGTTTTATTTTATAAGCAGGAGTTATATCTAAAACAATAGTTCTTTTTCAGCTGCTTCATAATATTAGAATGCAAAATTTGGCTTTTCGTTGTTGTTGTTCAAGACCCTAAAAATATGATAGACACTTATGACATGAAAACCTGGTAATGCTCAATTCTCCTGAAAGTTCTTCTATTCTATAAACCATTCACAGAGCTCCTCTCAGATCTTATCACAGGTCACACTTAGGGGCAAATATGCAGCCTCTGAGCCATACTGAAGGCCATGATGAAGACCTACACGGGCATGATGGCTCTCCCCTTGGTGCTGTGGTTCACAGGAAGAAAGATGACCCAGACAGTACAGAGCACCAGCAGCTAGACATCAGGAACTTCTCCTTGTTGAATGCATCAGGTAGGTTCCTGGATTTTATAAAAGGCACAGGGGCACTCCCTAGGGCCAAGGAGCCCAGGTATCCCAGGAGATAGTAGAAGGCAGGAACTGAGTCCTTGATGCACACAATGATGAGAGTTCTGGGTTCAGAGTACGAGTTTACATCAATGAAAAAGGGAATGGTTTCTAGTCAGATTCCACAGATAATTATTTAGATCATCTTCTCCTTGATCTAAGAGTTAGCAGCTCTTGGACCAGCAGTTAGAGTAATGGCTGTGTTGCTGGACTCCCATGTAGTCGACTGCAGTTTGAGTCCCAGACCTGGTGGCTTAAAACTCATGCCGGGTGTGTGTGCATGCGTGCCCCAAGATCCCAAGAGGAGAATGGAGGAAAAGGGATTGCAGCAAAATTTGGCAGGAGGGCTACACCCCATTGAAAGTGCTTTACCCCTCTCTCTTCCTCTACAATTTTTTCTCTGTTGAGAACATGCTCTCTGGAGGCTTGTTGAAAAGAGTAAACAACACGGGACCAGCAGTTAGCATAATGGCTATGTCACTGGACTCCCATGTAGCTGGTCGTTATTCGAGTCCCAGACCTGGTGGCTTAAACTCACGCTGGGTGTGTGTACGTGTGTGTGTACCCAAGATTCTGAGAGGAGAATGGAGGAGAAGGGATTACGGTGTGGCCATTCCCTGGGGGGGGGGTGATTTCTTGCTTTCTGTCTCTCTGTCTTTCTGGCAAGTGCAGGCACCTTATAGCAAAAAACTCTTTTAAAAAAGAGAGAGTAAACAACAGAGAAACTCCAGGAGGAGAGACATGAACAGAA